AGTTGTTTAAGAGACATGTTTGGAAAGTAAGCAAACACTGGAATATTTCTTAAAATATTAAGGTTTATGGTAAGGTAAGGTTTATGGTATAAAATAATTAAGGTATCAGTAAACAAGTGTAGTTTAGAGCTAAGTGCTCGCCGTAAAATACACAGTACGCTAGCAACCCAGGTTCAAAACCTACCGGCGCCATTGAAATTGTTAATTGCAAGTATTTTAAGAGTTGATTTGCCATGTGCTCGGCGTTGAAGTACAACATGATAAAGTCCGTCAAAACGCATTAGAACAGCGACTAACCGCATCATAAGCCACTCAGAAACGGGAGGAGGTATGTGCCCAGCTACTGTATGTATACAAGCTATAAATTTAACTTCTAACATTTATAAATCACATAAATGTATTCGCTTTTACCCATTGTCGCTGATATAACTTGATAATGTATCTTCGTATTTTTGAAAATTAAACAGAAGTAGAAATTATAATTATTATAATTATTTCAATGTGAGAAATAGACGTTTCGATTAACTCCGGGTCTCCTTTATGAAATAGCTACCAAGCGGTTTTGAAAAATTATGGTTCTATCTTGTTGAATCATAGTTGTATAAAGTAACGTCAAATACTGTATACTTATTGATACCTCAGGCATAGTTATAGAACAACCCTCCCATCGACGGATTGCGGTGAGTTTTCTTTCATAGCCGCGACTTGGTCGACCGTGTGAAATCAGTGAAACGTGAAATATTATGTTCGCAATATAAAACAATTCGATAGCCTGGCCTGGCAAGTTCGATTACTATTTTAGCACACAGAATGATAGACGATGAACTGCAGGAAAGAGGACTGAAGATTTTGCGCGTCTTTGCTTAACTGTTTAAAAAATTATTTTAGTTAAATATTAAGCTCTAAGCTAGTATTACTGAAAATATTTAATGAATATAGCTGTATTGGCTCAACTGATATGCATGCGATCACCTCCAGGTAAACCTGAGCAAATAGTGTAGCGGTGCGGTGCTGCGCTGCGAACACGTTATTAGTGGGCCTGCGCTGTGACACCGATGGTAGTAAAATCGTAGATCGCTTGACTGGAACCAACCTCTGACTAGTTTAAGGTCACACTGTACGGCGATACGAGCTTGGGATAGCTCAATGACTAACTGACCTCTGCAGTCAGGAATTTGGTGTTACTACCTATTTATCATAAATTGGCGGGGCACTTTTTATCTTTTTACACCGCCACTACATGGTTGAGACAGTACACGAGTGTAAATTATGAGGAAAAATACAGGTACTCTACATTTGGTTTTGTTTCAGGTATTAAACAACTTACAAATGTTATTAACTGTTATCTACGTTTTGAGCTTCAGTCATATGGTTTTTACATATTTGGAAACCAAAAACAACAATGTAACTGTTGCAAACGATGTTCCGAGTAGCTTTCTATTGGTCTATACTCATACTGATATTTTATTTTTATCCGCTACCTATGATCATATAATAAAATATTTTATTTTATAGGATGGTGACGTAGACGTTTTATCCGAGTCGATGACGGCGCCACCTATTGTACATGTGCTTACATCACGATCTACTACTAACGTAAGTATTTTTATAGAATAAGGGTGACAAACGAGGACACATTTTATACGTGGTAGAGCCATGCTGCAGCTATATAAGTAGCATAGCTGTAGCACAAATGAGTCAGCTCGACCGGAGACGGACCGCGATCTCACATAATAACAGCATAAAATAGCAACTTAACGCTACTGTGTTTTGTATGGTTAGTGTGGAGAACCGGAGACCCATTTTGCTGGAGACGAGGCATCCCATCTTAGTCCTCACGGGTGAGAACGCATCTGCATTTTGGTTCGTATTTGAGGGCAGATGTAGATGTACATGGGCCACAGCAATAACTTACCATCAGGTGGACTATATGCTCGTATGTCATCCTTTCTTATAAAACTAAAACAGAGCCCTAATAAGTGATTGCTTCATATATACATCTACATCTATGCTCGAAAAAGAATAAAAATACGAATGTGTTTTCACACATGAGGACTAAGATAAAATGCCTCATTTCCAGTAAAAAGGGTCTCCGCTTCTTTAAACTAATTATATGAATCACAACAGCATTAAGCTGCTATTTTATGCTTGTATTCTGTGAGAGTGTGTTCGTTTCATAACAACGTAACATTTGAAAAGTCTTCATTCATTCAAACATTACAGCCTATCAAACCCACGCTGATGAATTTAGGTGTTTTTATTAACTTTTCATAGGCTATGATGATGATGATGATTTATGATCTTATTTAAGCAAGTTTTATAACTATACGTATTTTCGATTTAGAACATATTATGTCGAGTCACTATTACGAGTTAAGGAGGTTCTGTTGAGGAATTTGTTAGACAAAAGCATTTTTGGATGACGTACATTTTTTTCAAGTATAAAATATTATTTCATCGTTGCAGATAGAACCTGTTCGTGATAGTACAATCATGATAATTTCAAATTCATTGTATTATATATTTAGGGGCTGGCTATCGTTCAAATTGAAAACGTATTGTGAAAGTATGGTAAAAGCTCCTTTATTTTATCCTGTACTGTTCAGTAAGTTGATATTGAAATTAACTAATTTGTTATTTTTAGCGTTTTAAGTGACGTTTTTCACAGCTCCGTGGTGTAGTGGCTTGAGTTTCAGCGCTTAGGGCTGTGGGTTCAAATCCCGCACGTAACAGGTATTTGTACTCGTATGAACTACAAATAATTGTTCCGGGTATGAATGTCTGTCCTCGTGCAATTTTTGTTTGTATATTACCTGATTTATATATAAATGCTTTTTAATTAATTCAGACTAAGTGTAATTTAGTACAGGTTGGTTTTAAAATATACGATAATAATAACTGTTAGGATAAAATACAAAATAAGTGCTCGTATTATCAATTAATTGCATAAAACATTTAAATATAATTATATAATTTCATAAATATATGAATATTAAAATTAAAGTTGTATGAGGAAATTCGGTCAGGTTATATTTTAATCGATGGATAACTTAAAATTTGTTGTGATGATTGTAAAATCTGACCTTTTAAATATAGTTCGTTTTGTTCGATTAGTTGAGTATTATTGTATAGTAAATATAAAAAAAAAACTGGAGATTACTGTAAGTGCAATGTCGCCTTTATTCCTTATTTCTTATAATTATGAAATGTCCACACGTTAATACTAGCACCTAATGAAAAGTGCATTTTTTAATTGCTCTAAAGTTATTGCAGGATTCACTGTTATAAATCAAGTGGTACAGTGATAAAAATTTGCGAAATGACGACTTGTCAGCGAAAAGCATTTTTGTGTTACATTACGAGAACTTTGAATGCGTTGCTAACATATGGCGTGTTATCAGAAGACAGTACAATTACCGACAATACAACCATCAATTACCGACTCATTACTACCCCAAACATTGGTATTAACAATTCAAGTGTGCCTCTGTAAAGAAAACCGTTGAGTATGAACTGTGTTGCCGCTGAAACAGTAGTGTCATATTTTATTATTTCTTTCACTGGGGATACGTGAAAGACCATATTTATGCCTAACTTTTGCGACAAGTTTGACTGAACTACAGGATTGCAGTAAAACTGCGCCAGTGAACATTTAAAGAGGTGTATTGGGCCCGTCTACGTTTATGGGTTAATATGTTTTTTGGCCTGTGGATATCGAACTTGATTACTGCTTGCATTTGTCGTGTAACACTTATAATGTTTATGAAACATGAAGTTGTGATATTTAATGCAATTTACCTTTTTATTTATGTAATACTTTGTGAAATACATTCATCCTAAGCACAAATCATTACGCTGCACGTCTGTAGCACGTACCGTGAACACGTTATTACCGCTGTGAAGCGCACACACTCTATTTATTTTAGTGTTAGGTATTGTGTAAGTCCTACAATATCTTTAAATTTATCAACGATTCACAGATTAAAAATTATTTGTTGTTTGACTTTGTTTATCAATAAGCCTTTCCATAAATATGAACAGGTTATGTAACTGGCAGCACAGTAAATTAATTAAAAATAAATCGATGCCCGCGGTAGGAATGTGACATTAGCTTACTGTTGTCCACAAATCGTAAATTTGATGCATCAGGAAATATTTAATACTGATTATTGTAAAAATAAAATCAAAGTTGTAAAGAATGTCAAATACGGAGTATATAGGAGATTTTCATCGTCTCTAAACAATAAACGGTGACTCTAACGTAATGATGAAACATTAATTTGTATTGTTGAGGCGTCACATTACGAAGTTTTGGGAGATTTTTATTACAGCTTAACCCAACTGAATGCTCATGATGTTATTTCAATGTTGACATAATGGACGAAATAGCTAGTAGTTTATTTCACCATCGCAGTACTTTTTTATCTTTTTCAATAATTATTCATATTATGTCAAGTTGATGAAATCCCAGTATAAAATTAAGCTAACATCATAAAGAAGGAATCGATTGGAATGTTTATTATTTTTTACATGTATGAAACGCGATATCTTCGTTAAATGTTAACCGTTTTTAATTAATGTATTTTGTTAAACTGATTCACACTTTAGGGGTAGTTATTTCATATAAATTTGAAGAAAATTTCCACACCATACATTGTCTGGTGGCGGTATAAATAACCATCTAGGGAAATCCACTACCACATCATCTCGTTTTATTAAACGATTATGATTACCTCTTTTAATATTATGTTTAATATAATTATTAAACTCTGCCTAAGGTTCATAAACATGACATTATCTTCATTAAATTTTTCTAAAATAATTTGTAACTTAAGATTTGTGATGTAACCACGGAAAAGTTCATGTAACTATTTGAAGACCTTATTTCAGATTCAAGCACGTTTTTCTTTTTATGGCCTATATATTTCTCAAATTTCAACTTTGGAGACTTTTATACTATTGTATTTTTCACGTTGACTTTTATGACTGAATTTCTAACGATGGTAAGTGATGATTTTGCTCTTTTTAATTATTATCAAGAAATGAATCGACAAACTCAAGACGAATAAATTTTAATATAAAAAAATATTTACAGTATAAATTGGAATATTATTGGATATACACAAAAACTTTATATGGAGATAGACTGGCCATCACTATAATTTCTTTACTTCTCAAATTTTTGCAAAATGACACAAAGCTATTATCTAATTTAGTTTGTGCCGAAGTCTCTGCATTCACCGATTGTGTTGTAAGAGGAACCAGCGAAAAAAAAATTAATTATATATTATATAAAAATACATGCTATCTAATTATGCAGGAGAAAGATTTTTTTAAACACATAGCGGTCACATGAGGGAAGTCTATGGATTTAGGTGGTCAAGGACCATGTTTTTTTGGCGAGTTCTGCCACTCGATACCAGATGGCGCTAGTGGGAAAAATTTTCATGGCATTTTCTAGAAAGCTCTCTTAATGCCTGCTACTCGATAATAGATGGCGCTAGTGGCATTTACCGACATCGACTATGGCGCGCAATATTATTATAAGATAAATTATTTGATCCTTTATCTTTATTGTTTTTGGTTTCGATCAAGGAGTTTTTTATTAGAGAGATTACATGTATGAATACTACTAATGTAAAAACTTTTTTTCAGACAATAACACTTCAATGTTTAATAGAAACAAAAGTATGTGAATGGCAATGGGCCAAGCGAAATATTGTTACCGTTATATTTGTTGTTATTGGCATTGTTTATAATGTGTGTTCTGATGCTGAGGTACATAATAAATATATAATAATCAACATAATTAAAGAGTTAGTAATATGCATATCATATGAAGTCGTCATGGCCCACCATGCTAACCACTAGTCCGCCATTAGATTCAGTGACGAACTGGTAAGATGAACAAGAAGTCGGTGGATGCAGGTATCTTAGTACCGTACTTCGTGACATTATTTCCCTTTGTGACATTATTGACTTTGGTCAGCAATAGACTTGTGAAGGGCTGTTATGATGATGATGATAATCCTTTTTTTCTACATTGTTCATACATATATTATTCATATATATTCATATTTTTCTTCATTCTCATCGAACACTATTATTAGTGATCGATGTTCATTCTACATTTTTCTTTTTTTTAACTAACAGTGATTTTTAGAGACTGATACGACCTTTGAGAAAAAAAGACTGGCAAGTGCGTTACTTGTGATTTTTCAGGTGTTGCCCGTTTGCCTTCTCTTCTATAAAAAACACTAAGTTTACCCCTCATTCACAAAATGCACAAATTATTCACAAAATGCTTCAAGCTAACCGACAAGTTTCTGATAAGCAACTGATTGCGAGGAAATCATCCAAAAACGTCCCAATGTGGCAGCGGGAAATATTTACAGTAACAATCTTTAAGAAAAAGTTCCTAATGCTGTGAAGAAGCTAGATTTCCAGTAGTGCACTTTAAATAGTTAATTAAATCCAATGATGAAATGAAAAAATGATGATGTAAACGAACTGTACGTACGTACGAGCCATTGCATGGCAGCGTGAGAATAAAAGAAAAAAAGGAATATGTTTAATTTGCATATACGATATAACAAAGAAACAAGACAGAAATATAATTTTAATTTTTGCCATAGTATATAAGATTACTTTTAATGCACCAAATTAGTCTTCACTCAGTTTGAAGTTAAATTGAATTTAGACAACCAGTCAGGAGTGAAAGCAATTTCATTTCATAGGTGACGTTAGAAATTGCTTTCGATAATGCTCCCATGACCATGACCATGGTAACGGCGGGGCAGGGGGTGCTAAGAATCTCCGGTGGAGGTTCGGTTGCCACCTACGACGACTCGACCTGGCAACATATAACGCACGCACCCTGAGGACTGACGAGAAGATACTAGAGCTGGAAGAAGAGGTAGACAAGTTGCGCTGGCATATTATTGGATTATCCGAGGTCCGAAGAGAGGGGGAGGACACGGCAATCCTCGAGTCCGGCAACTTGTTCTATCACCGGGAGGGCGACCATCTGTCCCAAGGAGGTGTCGGATTTATCGTCCACAAGTCTCTCGTCAACAACGTTGTAAAGATTGGGAGTGAGTCGACGAGGGTCGCGTACCTGATACTCAGAATCACCAAACGGTATTCGCTGAAGGTCATTCAGGTTTACGCACCAACCTCGGCACATCCCGATGAGGAGGTGGAGGAAATGTATGAGGATATTTCCAGAGCCATACATTCCTCCAAAACCCACTACACGGTGTTGATGGGAGACTTCAACGCAAAACTAGGCACAAGAGAAAGCGGTGAGCTGAAGGTAGGGAAATTTGGAGTAGGGCAACGGAACCGAAGGGGCCAGCAGCTGGCCGACTTTATGGAGAAAGAGGGACTCTTTATGATGAACTCTTTCTTCCAGAAGCGGCCCCACAGGAAGTGGACCTGGTCGAGCCCCGACGGTTCGACAAAAAATGAGATTGACTTCATTATGACGACCAGACGCCAACTGTTCAGTGATGTCTCAGTGATCGCAAGGGTGAAAACTGGCAGCGATCACCGAATGGTTAGAGGCACACTGAACCTAAACGTTAAGTTGGAGAGGTCTCGTCTAATGAAGTCAACGCTCCGTCCCCCCTCGTGCTCTAATCCAGAATCCCGAAACCTTTCAGCTCGAGTTACGTAACCGCTTCCAGTGCCTAGAAGATTGCAATGCAGTGGACGATATGAACGACAAGCTCGTGGAAACTGTCCATGCGGTCGGAGCTAAGTTCTGCAAGACCCGCCGCAGAAGAACACAAAAACTCTCCGATCACACTCTTAATCTCATGGCTGTTAGACGGGAGATGAGGCTGCAATCGTCAACAGATTTGACAGCATACAGGCAACTGAACAGACAGATCTCCAAATGCATGCGGCGAGACTTACGCAACTTTAATACTTCTCGTATTAAAGAAGCGATCGAGCGGAACCAGGGCTCCAAAGTCTTTGCCAGAGATCTGTCTGCCAGAAAGAGCCAACTGTCAAAGCTGAAGACTGAGTGTGGCAACATCGTTTCCGGGACACCTGAGATTTTGAGTGAGATTGAGAGGTTCTATGGGCAGCTGTACACATCATCGTTGGAGCCACACGCAAGTGTGAGTAACGATCCAAGAGCAAGTCTTATCCGACACTATTCCGATGATATCCCGGACGTCAGTCTGAGCGAGATTAGAATGGCTCTCCACCACCTTAAAAACGGCAAGGCCCCCGGGCGAGGATGGAATTACAGTGGAGCTTCTGAAAGCGGGTGGAAAACCGGTACTTGAAGTCCTTCGGAAGCTCTTCAATTCCGTCCTCCATGGTGGCGCTACTCCGGAGGCGTGGAGCAGAAGCGCGGTGGTTTTGTTCTTTAAGAAAGGCGACAACGCTCTCTTGAAGAACTACAGACCGATTTCCCTTCTGAGCCACGTCTACATGCTATTTTCGAGAGTCATTACGAATCGTCTCGCACGCAGACTCGATGACTTCCAGCCTCCCGAACAAGCCGGTTTCCGAAAAGGTTTCAGTACCATAGACCACATACATACCCTGCGGCAGATTGTACAGAAGACCGAAGAGTACAATCTGCCACTTTGCCTGGCATATGTGGACTATGAGAAAGCCTTTGATTCCGTCGAAATTTGGGCGGTGCTACAGTCCCTTCAGCGGTGCCAAGTTGACTGTCGGTACATCGAAGTGCTGAAGTGTTTGTACAGTAGGGCTACGATGGCTATCCGAGTACAGAACCAGAGTTCGAAACCTATCCAACTGCAGAGAGGTGTAAGACAGGGTGATGTTATATCCCCGAAACTCTTCACCGCTGCGTTGGAAGACGTTTTCAAGCTACTGGACTGGAAAGGATACGGTATTAACATCAATGGCGAGTACATCACTCACCTTCGATTTGCCGACGATATAGTCATTATGGCAGAATCGCTGGAGGACTTAAGCATTATGCTCAATGACCTCAATAGTGCCTCCCAACGGATAGGTCTTAAGATGAACATGGACAAAACAAAGATCATGTTTAATGTCCATGTCACACCTATGCCGGTAGTTGTTGGGAGCACTATGCTCGAAGTTGTTGACGAATACGTTTACCTGGGACAAATAGTCCGACTAGGTAAGTCCAACTTCGACCGAGAGGTCAATCGACGGATTCAACTCGGCTGGGCAGCGTTCGGGAAATTACGACATATCTTTTCGTCAGGTATACCTCAATCTCTAAAAACTAGATTGTACAACCAGTGCGTGTTGCCAGTGATGACTTACGGATCTGAGACGTGGTCCTTCACTGCTGGCCGTATGAGGACGCTTAAGGTCGCTCAGCGAGCTATGGAGAGGGCTATGCTTGGAATTTATCTGCGTGATAGACTCGGAAATGAGGATATCCGCAGTAAAACCAGAGTGACCGACATAGCCCAACGGATTAGTAAGCTGAAGTGGCAATGGGCCGGCCATATAGCTCGAAGAACCGATAACCGATGGGGAAGAAAGGTTCTCGAGTGGCAGCCTCGTACCGGTAGGCGTAGTGTAGGGCGACCCCCCACTAGATGGAGTGACGACCTGGTAAGACATGCAGGAAGTCGATGGATGCAGGTGGCTCAGGACCGTGCTTTGTGGCATTACTTGGGGGAGGCCTATGTTCAGCAGTGGACTTGTGAAGGGCGGTTATGATGATGATGATGAATGATGAATGCTCCCTACGGCTTCCGTTAAATAGCGGTATTAATATATCGTTCACATTAAACGCAAAATACTAAGACCGGCAACAGGCAGCGTCAAAGGTGTGAGTCGTCTGGTAATGCGATTGTCAATCAACCGGGAAACATAAGGATTAAGGAAAATCTTCTTAACGAAGGGAGAGGTCAGGGCCAGTAATATATTTTTGCTGATTGATGAAGATACGAAGAAAATTCGTAAAAATATACAAAAATACTCTACCGCTTATTTGTATCAGTTCAACCTGTACAGAGTACGGACGTTAAAAAAAAGCTTTCATCTATATTTAATTTTAGATTCGAGGGATTCTGTACATTTACAGCATCGGTATGGTAACGTTAGCTGAAGTGGTGGTTATATATTGCATCTACCCATTCGGTCGTTTAGTGGATGACATAACTTTTTATTATGGAACATCTCCGACAAGGCTTAGGGTGCTAAATTTCATTTTAGTACCAATGTTTTATGCTGTAAGTAAAACATTGCTCACTTAATTTTTTTAGCACCAGCGTTCGTAGTAGCTCAGGGGTTAAAGCATCCCGTAAATTTTATAGTACCTGTTCTTAGCTACGTAGGTTCGATTCCCGTCGATACCAATAAAATCATTGATTGCAATTTTAAGAGCAGATATACGAGTACCAAGTGGTGCTCATATTTTAGGTGCAGATACACGAGCAAGTGCTCGTTGGTGTAGAGAAACGTCGTAAGGAAGCCTGGTTGTTTTTGGAATGAATCATCTAGTACCGGTAAGCGGAGGTAGGACGTCCCTCTAGTAGAGGAAGTGATGACCTGGTAAGACTCCCGTATGTCCATAGATGGAGGGCCACGTTTTGTGGTACTCCACAGGGGAAGGCCTTTGTTCAGCAGTAGACTTGTAAAGCGCTTTAATGATAATGAGGCTGAAGTTCAAAAGGCCGATATTCAAATTGTTATTATTATTATTATCATTTATTATATACTTATTTGATAGAAATGCAGTCTGCATCTTGATATAGAATCCGATAAACCACGTTTTTAATAAACTATTATCATCGTCAGTCATATAAGTAGTAATATTTGCCGTAGGCTTGATAGGCAGCATGATCTTTTGAATGATTTTATTATTATTGAGTTGCGATCTCACTCCCTTTCCCGTTCCCTTGGATATGGGATAGCAAATAATCTAACGCTTGCGATGACAGAGGACATTACGCGGCAAGTTATTATTTTATGTTTTTATTTAATTATTTTCAAGCATTGTTAAAATCAAAAGATTGAAGAACCGACAACCATTTGAGAATTAAGGTCCCAAAATTGCAGCCTCATATCTGCATGCGGCGTGTACGCCAGCCTCCACAAGATAGATGACGACCTGATAAGATAAGCAGGAAGTAGGTGATTGCGAAGGCTCCTGACCGTGGTTTGTGGTGTTACTTGGGAAGGGTTTCGGTGGACTTATTAAAGGCTGTAATAGTGATGATGTAAGTGAATCTGAAAATCTGATTAAAATACTAAATAATCAAAATGCAAATTAAAAAGAAAATCAATCTGAGTGTTTGCTCAATTATATTTTTTTAATTATTACACGCATGTACCATTATTGATAATTTTAATAAGTATGATACATTGTTTAAAAAAATGATATGGACATAATTCCGCTAACCACCGCATTTCTTTGGAATCTTAACGAATGACGAAGGAAGGTGTTCTTAGCAGTGAAAAGTTTATATGCTGTAATTTTTATTAAATCTTTTAGACACAAATGTACACAATGTATAAAGGATTTTTCAAGGTTTTAGAATATGGTGATACTAGTTACAGAAATTTCTTATACTTTCTGAGTATCCCTTATTTATTCGGTGCAGTCTATGCGGCGTTTTTATGTCTTTTTATAGAGAAAAAGGTAATTTTCAATATAATTTATTTTTCTTCTTATTTTTTAATTTACAAGGCAACATTAAATTTTACTAAATAAATTATAAAAGTTTAATTGGTTGTGAAGACGGTGTAAGAGTATTCGAGTTACTTTTGTTTAAAATGTATTAGAGGGACAAACACATACAGTCCACCACATGGTAATATTCAAAATCCAGTTGCATTGTTGTTCTTTCAAGATAGAAAACCTTGTATACAGTAAAAAGGGTCACCGGTTCTATACATTCATAATACGAAACACAGCAGCATTAAGCTGCTATTTTACGCTGGCACTCTGTGAGAACGTGGTCCTTTTCCGATCAGGCTGACCTTTTGTGCTCTGAACATAATATAGCTACAGCATGGCTCTACCACATATCGGACTTAAGCTTTCATGCCATGTAATAGATGGCATTATAAGCACTTTATTTACGTCAGACTTAAAATCAAGACCGGCGACAGATAATCAATGTACCTACGGGGAAGAAAGTTTTTCGATTTTCAGCCTGAAACCGTTATGCGAAGTTTAAGGCGGCCTCCCGACATATGAAGCGACGACCCAGTAAGAGATACAAGAAGTCAACGGATATAGGTGGCTCAGAACCGATCACTGCTGAACATGGGCCTTTCCCAAGGAATGCCACAAATCTTCGGGGGAGGCCTGTGTTCAGCTGCTAAGGGTATATACTGGTAAAGATGAAGATGAGATCACTAAACAAATGTTGAAGAAAAGCAAACATAGCCTACAATCAGAGATACTCATGTCCAGCCGTTACTTTTAAAACTGTGGCTGATGACGATCCACAGATTCTGAATAAATACAGTAAAAATTCAATAAATTAATTAATTTAATGACTTTTCAAAAATTTAATCACGTTTTACTTGTGTAAATTTCCTTAAGTTACAGCGCTTTTTAGCACTCATCTAACGTGAACTACAGAGTAAAATTATGTTAATTTAAGCGTAATAGCATACGTTCACCTTATTTAAATCAGTGATTATCAGTCATGTGCTGCAATATATAAGAAATAATTCAGTAGATTTTTTGTTTTCTTAGAGGTTAGTCACCGCTACCGCTACATTCTATTAAAGTCCACTGCTGAACATAGAACTCATCCATACATTGCCCCAAAGGGTTGATATTGGCCATAGTTACTACGCATGGCAAGCGGGTTGGCAACTGCAATTTTTGAATATTATTCGAGAGCTAAGTCACATAAATATATGTTATTAACAATAATATTCCGAAGAATAATCTGATAAACTTCCCTGATCACTATGATAGCAAAAGTTTTTCCTTTTGAAAAGTCTCGTAATAATTTTTATTTTTACAGACTTTCATCAGCTAGATAAATTTAACTGTCCTGTTTCAGAATATCAAATGTGTATTTCAACCTCATTCGGAGTGGGGCCCTAAGGATATTGAAACTCGGCGACTCAGGATACAGTATGATTCTCGAAATGTGAATATATATAGATGTATTTTTTAAGTTTAATGAGTTTGTATTAGTTTTTATAGAACCTCTTACCTCTCTCTTTTTCTATAGAACCTTTTTTTATAGAAGAAAATTTAAAAAACAAAAACACAATCACGTGACGGTAAGTGAGTGTTGTTGTCTATAAGCAAATATATCTGATGTTTTAAAAAAAATAATTTATACCTTAATTTTATTGAGAATCAAAATCCAGATGACATGTGACTCTAAGTTTACGCACACTATAATGTACCTTATGCATTCGTGTGCTCGTGAACAGAATGCTGTCACAATGTGTTCACAGATGGCCAGTCTCAACGGGAGCGGCCATCTGTGAGCACATTACTCGAAATTCCGTAACAGAAATTCGATCTGAAGAACATTACTTTATTTTACACCTGGTATAAATTATATGATTATTCTGCTATAGATCGAAAGCCGTACAATCTTTGTGGCAGTTTCTAAAGTCGCGTCTTACGACACTCACGGAACAAAAAGGTCTGATGGATTTTCTTATGCTACTCCCACAGGAAAATGTGTGCTAATTAGTGAACAGGTGTGTGGTGGGTAAGACCGATAATGGTGATGTTTTTGGAGATAAATTTGGTATATTTCTCATAAAATTTTGGGTTTAAGAAGACGTAGGTTACATTAATCCTTTTTATAATTAGTGCATGATAGTGCAGATTATAACGTGGCAATACACTTTTCGAATAAATATCAGATACGGTGACACAAGAATGTACTAAAATTGTTAATATATTTATGAAACATGCTGGTATATTTTCAGAGACATTCACAGACAGTTCATCCGGATCCTATTGATATGTCTAAATAAACCCACCGTGGAATAATGCAAAGCGAACGTGATCTGTTGAATTTATATTCTGGCTCAATTTAATACACGATTTAGATTTTTAAATATTTTAGATTTTTAAATTAAAAATTTCGACACAAACATATTAAAACACGGTGAATAGAAAAAAAAATCAATTATTGAAATATTCACATAATATTATGTATTAAAAATATGACTGTTTCCGTTTTTAACCAAGTTTTTATTAACTCGATTTTTTCTCTGTTTGGTACAAATTTAGCAATTGATTTTAGACTAACTTACCTTTAGCCTCGAGACTTAAATTATAAATATAGCTCAAATATGGATGGCGATTTAATAAAAACTCACTTTCTTATCTGTTTGTCTTTTCGGTAAATTTAGCAATCGATTTTAAAATATATTCTCAATAAACTAGAGATTTGAAATAAAGCCCTAGACTTGCACGGCAACGAGGTTAAATCGGTTGCCATTTTGAATTACAATTGTTAATAATTTATGTTACGGCGATGGAGTCGCGTCCGCAGGGTTACATAGCTGCTTCGCGATAAATTGCTCATTTACATATTCCTTAATTTGACAACACCTTAATTTGCTCACATATAGCTGTGAATGTTTTTTTTTTTTGAAATATTGTTTTATTTTTCAGTATATTGAATCACAGGCACCTAGAAAGCTAAGTCGTTACATGATACAGAAATCCAGGCTCGAATCATACAAGCTTGACGTACAGTACGATAACGTTGTACGGCATTCATCTTTGACTTCTACGGAAATACATATTGAAGATGAGAAGAAACACAAATAATATTTGTCAATGTTATTATTAAACTTTAATTTCTTTCCTTTTTAATATTTTTACTCCTCCCTCTTAACGCTTGAAGCTTGATGCAAGGATTTGTTACTATTGCTACTTTTATCAGATGAGTTGGTAAACGCAATGTATTCAACGTCTGTCGTTTTTTTTTGCCGCTGCTCCACCGCGCCAATCTGGGTATTTACTATTTAATTAAGTTGAATTAGAAGTGATGAAATTTTTGTTTCTTCGCTGTAAATAAAAAAGTAAAAAGAAAAACAAATAACGTTACAGTTACAGATTAACAAATGTCTACTGCTGAACATTGATAAATATATATTTGCCATAGTTGCCACTTTTGGCAGGCGGGTTGGCAATCGCAGTTTTAATTTTTTGTATGGTATAATAAAATCGTTGCTACCCATCGCCTGGTTTTGTTATTTTTAAATCTGCTATCATTCAGAAATGAGACTCCGCCGACCGCAAAAAATTGCGAAAGAAACTACGCCGGTGTCCTCTTCTTTTTATTTATTTAAGGAAATATCACGGTAGCTTAATACTTTATTCTGAATTGAAAACAACAATAGACCTATCAATAACCGAATCAGCTTCTATGATATACTCAAAATATAATATAAGAACCTTAATAGTGCTTATCAATGTAAAGCGAATCCCAGCTGATCAATCCCCCCATAAGCAGCACATGTTCATCAGTATGACGCATGTAGAAGTACATACTTAAATTGCATAAACTCAAACATTCAGACACTCAACGATCATTTGTAGATCAAATAAACATTTATAGCGTGTTGAATTCGAACCCGCTGCATCTCAGTGCCGCAGCTAAACGCCTAGCTACTAAGCTCTCGAGTTACCAAACTATTTCGATACTTGCATGAACTGCATACACTCTTTAATTTTCGTTATCCCGAGAGTAAATTTTCAATAGAGAGCTTCAACTCGCTTACATTTACGGCAGACATAACATTACAGAAGCAGGTGTGGTTTTTAATATAAATACATGACACTCCACGTCTCATCTGTTATACTCGTAGCAGCCGCCGTTGATGTGCCACAGAAAACGTTTACTAACGGATGTTTTTCCTTTATTTTAGGACACCGTCATAAGGTATGAAATATAATAAATGTTTGTACGTCTGTTAGTGATGGTGCAACTTCTGAACGACTTGGCATATTGTTTTGTCTGACGGTTCTTAGCTACGCCAGGATCCTATAGGTTTTTTTTGTTTGAGAGTGGCAAACGAGCACACAGTCCACTTAATGGTAAGTGGACACTGTAACCTATAGACACCTATATTTTATCATCAAATAAGAATCAAAATGCAGTAAAAAATTGTACTTGACATACTGAACACAGCAGTATTAAGCTGCTATTTTACTCTGGTGATTTATGAGTACATGCTCCTCAATCGTTCAAGGAAAAATTATCTACTTCTTATTACAGGACTGACCTACAGTCCATTTCCTGATACAAGACTGGCACTACGCTGCCTAGACAAGTTGAATCCGTCGATTGACCTTTTCGTCAAATTTATACTTAGCTAATTGGATAATTTTCATCTGGTAACAATCTAGATTGATTCCTGCTAGTCTAAATTTTAGGCGACAGTAGGCCAAAAAATCGGCTCTACTGACGCCTACATGCTGCCTGAGACACGTAGTGTCATTCATTACAGATGGTAATGAACGATTGCTTCGTTGGTTTAGTACCACTAGACCAACGAAGCAGTCCTTCATGCCACCAGCACAATGATTGATCATAAGTTTCCAGGTTCATTCGGACAAATTAAGTATAATTAAACCCGTAAGAGTAATAATGTTCAATGTTGTAAATGTAATCTTAAAGCTCTCTTCCTAGTTTAAAATTATTCTATATAAGATTTAAAATAAAATCGGCAAAACGCTAGTGATGTTCAACAAGTCCACTGCTCAACATAGTACGTCAGGGAATGACACAAAACATGAACCTGCCCATCGACTTCCAGTGTGTCTTAACAGATCGTCATTCCATCTAGTGGGACTATAACCCTGCACTTTGCTTAACTATGCAGTGCTACTCGTATAACGCAGGGAAAATATAGCCCTCTCCATCGCTTGAAGAATGACCTTAAGTATCCTCATACAGCAGACAGATTCGTTTGTCTGGTATTAGGGCCAATATCAGGATCAACGTATGGAGCCGGGAGAAATGAACGACTGAAACATTTAAGAATTATAATACCTTTTGAAGAAAAATTTGGCCACCACGTACGCCCTGTTCTATGTTTTGGAACCCTTATAATAAAATATACAATTTCTAGATAAAACTGTATGTGCGTATGCTGCTATATTTATTTATGCTGTTTTATACAAAAGTAACCTAAATTAATAATATGCAAATCTTGTATCTTGCCTTGGGAATTAATATATTTCCTGTGTAAATAGGTTTAATACAAAATTCGGTTCATTTAACTATTATTATATTTGCAGGTTTCAATTCAGAATATCATTATATGTGAATAGTTAGTTAAAAAAAGTATACACGAACCCCTGTAATATACCTATCATTTTTTTCAATCAAAAAATCGGGAAAACCATAGAACTATTTCTTATATATAAGCCTTTATATTTACATTACATTACATTAAGGTATTTTTATTATTAAGATTTTTTTTAACTATTTTATTAAGATATTTTACGACAAAAAGAACATTGCAAAAGGAAAAAAGTGAATAATAAGCGTTATCATTAGGCATGGCATATTAATCCTTACGAACGAAAGTTAATTCATTATTAAGACGATTTTATGAAGATAAAGTTTGCTCTATATAGGATGTTATTTGGACGTGTAGTTCAAAAGATAATGAAAAATTACGATTACGGACAAACATCCAGACCAAACCCGCGGCCCTCTGCGCTGCGATCCAGTACTAAGACACTGCGCCAAGGAGCCCTCTCTACCATTAACATCTCTATTATTACAAATTTTCGCCTCAGAGCAATTCGGGCTTTATTCCTGCCGGCACCGATTCAATTGTTAAAATAAAATTGTAAGACTGGATAACCATGTACTTGACGATGAAGGAAAACAAAGTCGGCAACCCTGCGTCTCTGAAATGTATAAGTATCATTATGGGGAAGTGTAAATTCTGCTACATGCAAGCAGAATTTACACGTCCACAAAATGAAGTCTTTAAGAAAGTACGTAAGTTTTGCTCACTAATTTTAAGTCTTAAGTGTAAGTAGTGTTGTGAGAATTTCGGAAATTAAATAATTTTTGCTTTTTTAAGTAATGAAAATTGATAAAATATAAAAATCTTAAAATGTAAAATCTTAATGTGAATCTAAAATGAATTTTCATAACGTAATCGTTGCTCCGACCGTATAGTCGTGGTATAAGGATATCCATATTTCAAACAATAAAAAAGGAAATTTTTATGATTATTAAAATAATGAACTAGCTCATTGTATTTTTATGTGATATTGAATTTTTATGAACAATCTATAACGGTAGCACTACTCATTTACGCAAACATTTTCCATCGTGTTTTGTGTGTCTGAACAGAATTGTTTGAGATGTATGTTTGATAACATTGATATGGTTTAGTTTAGTAGTTTAGTCGAATCGACCTATTCAAGCTACATCTTAAATATAGCTGCAACATGGCTCACATGAAATCACCATAAAAGCTAAATTAAATTTTGCTTTAAAGTAAAACAAAATTGTTTATTTAACCGAAACATATCTGCCAGTGCCATATAGGTATATATGGCACTGGCATATATACCTATATGGCACTGTATATGGCATATGTATTTTTAATAGGATAGGGTGCCAAACGAGCACACAGTCCAAATGATGGTAACTGATTGCTGTGGCCCATAGATATCTACATCTATCCTCGATTACGAATAAAAAAGCAGATGCTTGGTCACCCGTTAGGACTAAGATTGAATGCCTCTTTTCCAGTAATAAGGGTCTCCGGTTTTCTACACTCACCATACGAAACACAGCAGCATTTAGCTACTATTTTACGCTGGTATTCTGTGAGAGCGAGGTTCTTCCCCGGTCGAGTTGACCCATTCGTGCTACAACTATACTACTATTATAATTGCAGCCTGATCGTCATATTAAAGTTATCCGTTGAATAACCGAAATAAATATAAAAGTGAACTAATTTATTTTATAAATTTGACTGTAATTTTAATTTATATTGTTGTCTTTTAATCCTATGAATAACTGTCATCTGAGGATTAAAAATCGCCCTAAGTGATATAAATATTATTAATTTGATTCAAATACACGCATAATTGAACTATACACTTATAATTGAATATCAATTATAAGTGTATATTATTCTAACGCCAAAACTTAAAATTATATGGAGATATATCGTTTATTATACTGAAAACAAAATAATAAAAAAAATCAACTAATTATTATACTTATTCGAAGTTTATGGAATGAAGTCATCCCTTCAATATAACAGTGATAAATGCCAGTATCATAAGTTATATTAATGTTGTATTCTTTGAAAGCACAAATATATCAGACTCCATTTAATATTTACTCATTCTTTAGGTCTCGTTTCAAGAAATATAATTTTTAGAGATATGCTTACATTCCTCAAAGTAGGAACTAAAAGGTTTATGATATAAATGTAGTTTGCCTTGAAATTCAGAATATTATTAAATTGAAAAGTAAGTCGATGTTTTCATCAAGTATGTTGTACCTAGAAAAAATCTAGGAGAGGTCAATCGACGGATTTAACTCGGCTGGCCGGCGAATGGGAGATTTCAACACATCTTCTCGTCAAAAAGCATACCTCAAAACCCGAAAATAAGATCATACAATCAGTGCGTGTTGTCAGTGATGACATGGATTTGAGACGTGGTCTTTTACTGCTGGCCATAGAAGGAAGTTCAAGGTCCTTCATGTTTTGTCGTTTGAATAATGGTTTGAGGTAGGTTTGTTGTGCAAAAATTTTGTCAGCACATGTGAATTATTATTG